CTATTCCAGTTAATAATATATATTTATATTGGATTTTATTTCAAACTCATCACAAGTGAGTCGAATGCTCCGACTGCTGGCTTTAGAGCAGAAAAACTTATGAATAAAAAATGAATTCCTTGGTTTTAAAATTAGCATCACAAAGAGAGGGTAATTCTCGTACCTTTGCGCCACAGAAATGTATAAACGCGTTCTTTGTTGTTTTACTGTAGGTGAAAAAATCTGTGTTTTACTCAAAACAATTGTAAAATCATACAGCCATTTTAACTGTAAATAATATTTTTAAACTAACATTTAACTTATACACTTACTGCTGAAAATATGACTGAGAGTACATTAATTTGTTTTCATGTAAAATATACCTGTTTATTTAGATAAATAAAAAATAAAATATATATAAAAAATACACCGTTATTCCCCTAGTTCAAAGAAAAATGAACTTCAAAACAATAGGTTCTATAGTGTTGGTGATATCGATATAAAAGGGCAGAGACAATCTTGAACATAAAGTAAATAAGTTTTATATTTCGTTATCTTAAAGTGGATAGAAAAAAACTAAGCATTAACATATAAAGGAAGGTATCCGCGCATAATCATGAAAATGTTATCGTTTCACACAAAATTGAGCCCTTTTGAGAAAATAACTTTGGCTACAATGAGATTGTGATGCGAAAAGCTCTTTTTTCCCAGAGGAAATAAAGTGACACTTTAGAAAGGAATTTAGATAAAATATTTAGTGCATATCTCTACAAATTACTTGTTTTAGAGGCATGGTAATTTGTTATAATTTATATTATCAAAATGTTTCCGTATTTTCTTTAAAAATACGCAATGTGCTATTCAGAATAATGTAATAAATTTCTGTCATTGTGATGAACGTCTAGTACGTTATTGGTTAACGTCTAGTGGTTATCAGTACTTGCATCTTCGAATATGTTAGAAACAAAGAGTACTGCGTTATTTAAAAGATTAATAAAATTAGTATACATTAATTTTGATGTATAAAGTACTTCTAAGAAAAAGTACAAGTTTTAAACTTTATGTGTAAAATATGTCATATGTTAAGTTTATTCATCCAGTTTATATCCGTTCTCTTTTTTATGTTTTTTAAATAATTAATTTGTTTGTGTTTATTTAATAATTTAATTAATTCGTTTATGACTTTTGTTACTACCTATATCGCGCGTTTTTACTATAAATATGCTACAAATAAATAAAATAAAATAAATGATATATAAATTTTATTCAAATCCATTCAACCCATTAAGTGTGATTGATTAACAAAAACATATTTACATTTATTATATTAGAGGAATAAGAAAAATCTATGAGTAAATTAATAATCGATAACCATTATGACGTTAACATACAATATCAATTTATTTTGACACATCATTCCGTGTCTCATATAATCGTGACGAGTTGAAATTGTATCAAGGTACATACACAAAAGTGCTCACTTTGGGCCATCATACAAAAAGCAGTGACATCGGAATTTCTCATTACTGCTCCAGGCAAGATCCCCATACATCACGATGGGAAAATATAGCTTTTAACATCCCCCTCAGAGCCATTAATAGTCGTACATATGTATATACAGCATACATAATGTCCAACGATACTGATAAAACACTTTTAGCAATGAAAATCAACACATTTTTTATTTTCATTTCATTTCATAAAAATATTGATAAAAATAAAATAATTTTACCTCTAACAACATAAGTGAATAAAATTATCAATTTCAATACATTTTGATTAATTGGACAATTACAATTTATTATTCCACATCAGTAAATTTTGATTAATTGTATTCATGTCGTCAATTTAATACTGTAGATGTAATATCTAATATAAAATTACTTGTAAAATTATTATAAAAGTTACTAAATTATTAAATAATATTATTAAAGATAAAGAGCCACAAAAATAACTGACAGCTTTAAATAGTACTAAAAATCTTTACTGGTAAATAAATAAAAAAAAACATGAAAATTAATATAACATAATTAGCTACAAATAGCTACATATAAAACGGAAATCTTACGTATAGCTGATTTATATTAAAATTTTCTTACACCAATTCCAATTAATACTATTCCTATTTAATTTATTGTACACAGTTGGCAATATTTGTTGACAAAGACGCCGTAATGGAATCGGTTAGTTACCGAATTAGATAGTAGCATGTCTCTCCATTAGCTGAGTCTTAATTAGGATCCATCAGAAAGGTCTGGGAAGCCAAGTCGGCCGCGTTGGGACGTTGTAATACTGCCATCAGAATTCTGATCACGCTTCTGCAGAATTTCTATGAGTGCGCCAAATGTCAACGTGCATGTCATCAAATTTATAAAGGGTACATTGTGCTCAACATTCGGGGTATACTGTGAGTGTACAGGTTAAATCGATGGCAATTATGTTGCTAATTACCCACTCCTTTTAAAATGCGTGTATATTGATGGTCGTTTATTGGGCGTACTTAAATATATGAAGCTAAAATTAATTTATGAACTTTAAACATCAACACCCTTTTATTTTAGAAGTAAATCTCACGTATGATAAAGACTTTAATAAAAAATGTAGTAGATAACTAAAATGTAAAAGAAGAAAAGAGAAGAAACAATAATAATTGAACAAGGAATTATCATAAAATATCCTAAAAAACAAACAATGTCATATTTTTAATTAAATTATTTTGAATCACAAGTATAAAATACAACACGAAGGAACCGCATTTAATTAACAAATATCTCTGAGTGTTTGATACGAATCTACCAGACTCCTTCTTTGTCCCCTGCTACATGGACTTTACAAATAAAACCACAGCAAACTCTTTGCAAAAAATAGTAAATGAACCCTCAAAACTGCAATTCAACACGCTACTTCAACTTTAAATATAACAAACAATATTTTTTCTCTTGTATTTTACTGGTTAATTATTGTATAGGGAAATGTTGATTTATAAATTTGTTTTGAACATAAAAAGACGGACATTATAAGATGGAGTTTGCATCTAGTTGTAACTTTAATACGTGTTTTTAGTAAATAGCTAGTTCAATTAGATCATTACGTTGTTAATATTTTTTTGTGGATGTAAGACCACCTTCATAAGCTAAGGTGGAATTAATGCAACTGGTAAAATAGCTACTACAAATATATCATAAGTATGCCCTTAACTGGTTAAGGATTATATAGAGTATTAGGAAGTATTTCGAGTCGTCAACGCGCACGTGTCCGTCCCGGCATACAATGGGCCACCGCTTTCTTTCCCGTGGGTGTCGTAAGAGGCAACTAAGGGCAGTTATGGTCGAGGAATGGGCAGCAGCGTCCCTCTTAAAACATTCCCAAAGGCCTAATTGCGGTTGCTAACCCTCCTGCCAAGCGTGGTGACTAATGGCAAAACTCCCCTTATGGGGAAGGCTCATGCCCAGTAGTGGACAGTTAACGGCTGAGATAAAGATGAACATGCACGTGATACCGCTAGTGTTGCAGTCATCCATGAGCTACAGTACCCATTTACCATCAGACGGATTGTATGCTTGTTTGTCACCTTTATAGTATAAAGCAAAAAAGTATCAAGAAATAATAAATAATAATCAACATCACTTAACACATACTTAGAATATCACTATATCTTGATGATATTTATAAACGTGACAGTGACATGATCCAATAACAATACTATAAGTATCTAACTATTAATCAATTATACCATTCTTGATAATCATGAAACGGTAACTAGTTTGAGTAGAAATTAACTACGGTCCAAGTCCTGAAATTGGGATTCCAGTCACGGACAAACTGAATTTAGATCGCTGTATCAATATGTATAGCTAGGATGAACTTGAGTGCGTAGCTTTACATAAAAAGTTTTCTGTTTGATTAAATTGGACTTTTTCTTATCAGATACTATGTTTATGTTGTTTGCATTAGGTTCGAATACTTCTTCAAATTCTCAATGTGTTGTATTAACAATTTATTTATGTATGAGATAAAATGCGATGTCAATCTTACCTACACTATTGGTATATGCTGGCAGAGTATTTATACGGGATGGAATTTGAGAATGAAGTCAGGGCAGGTAATGCGTCATGACAAATTCATCAGAAATTAATCACGATAATTTACTAGAGGGACCGTGTGAAGGTTTATCATTTAAATTAAATTGTTAACAATCCCATAAAATTTATTCTGTTGTCGATTGATTCTAAGCACTAGTGTTGTAAATATCAGATAAATATAGATGATTGTTTTATAAAGCGTACCTATTACTTATGTATAAACAAACAGAAAAAAAAAACAATAATAATTACCACTCAGAAACAGATGATACCGGGCTCACTAACGGGCCAAATAAGTACCTTAGAGATTGTTATTCCAGGAAAACCTCAGAGTTCGATGCAGTGAGCACAGCTCAGAGCTAGGGGAGTCTGTTAGCTGTTGGCGACAGACCTCTTTTTATATAATTTACCTTTTTAGAATTATATTTTTATATTATGAATATGTCTTTTTGATATCTATTTTTGTTTTTCTACTTGATTGACATTATTGTTGTTACACAATGAAAAGGGCGCTGGTTGGAGAGGAGGGCAGCGACAATAATAAAATAATATTAAGAGAGAGGCTTACCAGTATATTTTCTTAGACGTACACACTTCTTACAATGTAACAACAATAATGTCAATCAAGTAGAAAAACAAAAATAGATATCAAAAAGACATATTCATAATATAAAAATATAATTCTAAAAAGGTAAATTATATAAAAAGAGGTCTGTCGCCAACATGGCACGCCCCGGTGCAGAGCACCAATTTAAGGAGGCGACAAAAGCAATGGCACTACTCTTCTGCTGGATCTTTCTAAGAACCTTTTGTTATAATAATTTAGACCACCCGTTTGAGTAAACCCGGCCTTTCTAGGAATGGACATTAGAGACATTTTCAGGCCCATAAAATCTCAATCAATCGGAGTTCCAAGTTTATGATCCTCTTGGTTTTTTAATGCCTGCTGTTATCGCTGGTCGCATTCTCTTTCAAGAGACGTGGAGAATGGGAATTGGTTGGGACGAGGAACTTCCCGCTCTTGCGAAAGCAAAATGGCAGACTTGGTTTGCAAGCTTAGCAAAAATTTCAACAGAAGTCACAATACCGCGTTACTACCAAACCAAGCCTGCTATAGAAAGCCAACTTCACATTTTAGCAGACTCAAGTGAGTTAGCCTACGCCTGCGTAGCGTTTTGGCGTTTTATTCGGGAGGACGGGACGGTTCATCTCTCTCTCGTAGGTGGAAAGGCGCGCTTAGCTCCATTAAAACCGGTATCTATCCCACGGCTGGAGCTACAGGCGGCACTCGTAGCTACTAGATTCGCAACATATATTTTGGAAGCACACCGTATCGTCACATCGAAAATTTTCTTTTGGACAGACTCTCTAACAGTTTTAAAATGGTTGCGTAGTGACGCGCGGACTTTTAAACCGTTTGTAGCTCACCGTGTTGGGGAGATATTGGAAACTACAGATGTAGCTGATTGGCACTATGTACCAACGGCACTGAATGTAGCGGACGATGCTACACGCGGGCAGTGTACTCTCTCTTCGACCTCCCGTTGGTACACTGGTCCAGATTTTCTTCATGGCCCTCCGGAACAATGGCCGCGCGAGCCAGCAATTGGTTCCCCACCGGTACTCGAGGAGTTAAAACCAGAGCATGCGCTAACATTTCTATTAACTGAAGAACCGACAGTTCCATCCCCGGTAATTGCAAATCCTAATCGTTTTGATCGATGGATTCGGTTAGTTAGGGCAACTGCTCGTGCACATCATTGTGCCAAGATCTTTCGGTCTTTATTAGAAAAACTTCCAAATTCAAAATCAAAAAAGGTCGCCTCCGAGGTTTCTTCTAAAATTATGAAACCCCTTTCGGCCAAGGAAATCTTGGAGGCTGAAAGGCACCTTCTTTTATATTCACAACTGAAGTCGTTCAATCACGAATTCTTACGTCTTTCAGCAGGTCTTTCCTCAACTAATCAAGGAAAACTTAAAAACCTAACCTTGATGTTGGGAGAGGATGGTTTAATTCGCTTAAACGGAAGAATTCGGGCAATTTTAGATGCTCCCACGCAGGAAGTTAACCCAATTGTCTTGGACGGTCGACATTTAATAATACGACTATTTCTCGATTACTACCATCGAAAGTTTGGTCACAGTAACACTGAAACTGTCGTCAACTTCCTGCGTGGTAGATATTACATAATAGCACTACGCTCTAGTATTAGGTCTGTTGCTAAACGTTGCTGTTTTTGCAGAGTTAGAAAACTTCTCCCGTCTGTGCCACAATTTGGTGATCTACCCAGCGACAGGTTATCACATCATCAGCGCCCGTTCTCTTTCACCGGTCTTGATTATTTTGGTCCAGTGGAGGTTACTATTGGGCGCAGGCGGGAAAAACGCTGGGTAGCTTTATTTACGTGCCTCACCACCCGAGCTGTCCACCTGGAAATCGTGGCAAGCCTTTCAGCAGATGCCGCCATCATGGCTCTTAGAAGATTCATTGCCCGTCGAGGATGTCCTTCAAAAATTATCTCTGATAACGGTACGGCCTTTGTCGGTGCAGCGAATCAACTTGCTCAGGTGTTCGATTTTGCAGCCAATAACAAAATTGAGTGGACATTCATTTGCCCGGCGGCTCCATCAATGGGTGGTTCTTGGAAACGTCTAGTCAGATCTATCAAGAACGCCATTTCCGTAACCCTGCTGCAGCAGGCACCGAAGGAAGAAGTGTTGTCAACTTTACTACTGGAAGCAGAGGCCCTAGTAAACTCACGTCCACTTACGCACGTCCCTGTGGACCCTGAGACACTACAGGCTCTTACGCCGTTTCATTTTCTGTTGGGTACACCGTCAACTGAAGCCGTTCGCCCTTGCACCGATGCAGACTTGTACCGTCGCCTCAACCATAAAAGGGTTCTCAGATTGGCCGAGATTTTTTGGGCCAGATGGCTCCGAGAATACCTTCCGACGCTCATCCCCAGAAAAGCCGGGTTTACGCAATCTGCCGCTAATGTAGGCGATCCGGTACTAATAGCAGATCAAAATCTACCAAGAGGAACCTGGCCTAGAGGCCGAATATCGAAGGTTTTCCCTGGCCCAGATGGAGTGGTTCGGGTGGTCGAAATTACTACCAATAAAGGGCTCTTAAAAAGACCCATCAGAAAAGTAGTGCCATTGCTTTTGTCGCCTCCTTAGATTGGTGCTCTGCACCGGGGCGTGCCATGTTGGCGACAGACCTCCTTTCATACAAGTTTACCTTTTTTAGATTTATATTTTTATATTATGAATATGTCTTTTGATACTTATTTTGTTTTTCTATTTGAGTGACATTATTGTTGTTACATTGTAAGAAGTGTGTACGTCTAAGAAAATATACTGGTAAGCCTCTCTCTTAATATTATTTTATTATTGTCGCTGCCCTCCTCTCCAACCAGCGCCGTTTTCAGTTAGCAATGGGAACGTGAGTCCCCTATTAGGTCTATTTCCACGCGGTTTCACTAGAAACAAACGTGGTTTAATCCGTAGCGAATTCCCACGATGGGCTAATTGGTCTGAGTTAATTCTTCATCGCTTGCTTCACCAGTAGGAATTATAGTTAATAAGTACAAGCTGGCACACCATTCAATCTTCAGCCATAAAAAAAGTCTGAGTACTCTCATTTGCACCCTCTTCGAAGGGTGAAGAAGACTCGATCATAAATGTCATTGACCCTCTGACGTGTATTGTCTTCTTCGCTAATTCCAATACAAAATTCTAATACACTTATATCAACGACATTTTCTCTATAATATTTCTTATTGTTCTCGACATTGGCACGTCTGGATCAACTCACCTATGTAATGGAACATGCATAGATAAACAGCTATGCATCTTCGATTTCCCAGCAGAATATTTGAAGCGAAGTAAAGAGCAATAACTTTTGAGTCTACGTGAAGATTACAAATGTCAGGTGTTATTTTGTGACAGCTAGTTCTATAATCAATCGATTTGAAATAAACAGAAAAAAAAGATTAATATCGTTTCGTGAGATCAAGATTATAACAAGTTAAAATTTTGTTCTCCAAATAACTTACTAATAATTTATATTACTAATTTATATTTTATTGTACACACTAATAATACATTAATAAATATAACAGTGGAAAGCGAATGTATAAAGATGGACTGAACTCTACAAAAGATCTCTTCCAGCAAACCCAAATTGGAAAAATCATTAATGTTAATAAGTAGAGATAATTCAACTTATTTTGTAAAAAAAAAATATATGACTAATCAAAGATAAAATAATAAAGTATTATTAATAATTGGCGACACTTTCAGCGTCTAATGTCCATGGGCTGCGATAATCACTTATTATCAGATAACAAATGATAATCCCTTACTTAATAACGGCCTGCTCGTTTGTCGCCTTTTCACATAAAAATCCAATTGATTACAAAAATGATCATTTAAATCGGTTTAGAATTGCCGTAGATAAATACCAAGTTATTTAACTGAACTTGGTATTATTTTGCAGAATTTTGCAGGTTATTTGATTAGAATTATTTTGTTTAATTCCGCTACCATTAATCAGTGCGCGACTGCCAACTCTCGAAGTTTGACCACCATTACCATAAGTTAATACCAAGCTAACAGCTCATTTGACAAAAAGTGGTAACCGCCAACTATAGAATATGAAGAGCACTATGAACATCACTGAGGGCACTCATGCATTGTTATTCCTAAAGAAAAATCTAAAAATATTCATTTCTTTAGTGAATATCTTTCATCCAGGTAAGCATGTTTCTTATTAGGTCTTGTTATTTATTACTTTCCAGTCCAAATGCGAACTTATTACTATGTAATATTATAAATATAAAAATTAAATGGTAACCCCGCTACGCTATCAGTACATGCTGGTGGGTTAACATTAACGGATCATATAGGTGAGATCTAAGCAGATCAGTTGAGTCATCGGGATGAATGAATGAATAAATAAATATAAGTATTATAAAAAAAAAAAAAAAAAAAAAATATACTTTTTTTTTTTTATACAACTTAGAATGGCAAACAAGCTGACGGCCCACCTGATGGAAAGTGGTAACCGTCGCCTATAGACATGATCAGTACCATGAACATAACAGAGTATACTGTTTCGCCCATGATACCCCCAATGTGTTGCCATTCCTGAGGACTCAGGTATTATTCCTCTGTATCCTGTAAATCACTGCTATATGCCCACCCTTCAAACCGAAACACAGCCATGCAAACACGACTGCTTTACGCTTTTATATTTTACATACTTTTGAAACGCGAATGGGACACAGGTACCCAAGCAATCGACTTTTGTACAAAGTCTTTACAAACACAACGATACAATTGTATAAGTACATTATATGAGACCGCCTTGACCTTATTGCTGAGAGCAATCTTTAACAAGTAAAGAATTCATTAACAAGCAATCAAGATGCTTTTAAGGATAATCGCGCAGAGATTCACCTGTCAGAATATATTGCTAGCAAAGAGGCTCCATTGCTAGCAATATACCCTGTCAGATTGACCCCCACACCATTCTCTCTAGTCTTTGTTACCAACAATCCTTCCATCATTTACAAAATAAAATATTACAAGTCGGTTTGACCCGCAACTTTATTAGGCACACAATAATAAGTTTCATAATTTCGCTACGGAAACTAACGGCCACGGGCGGGTTGAGGGAGAAGCATATTTTATCAGTTTTGGCGGATAAAGGCTATCAAGAACACCTGAGACTTATTTTACGCCGGCGTGCCAATATCCCTATTACGTACTACGGATACCAGGTAGGGTGAAATCTACAGTATAAATCATAAAAGTCGAACAGTCACTCGAAATTACCTGTGTTAATTTTAATCTATTGTTTTGTATTTGTTTCACTGTTAACGGTTTGTTTATTAATCAACTTCACAGAAGGAGGTGGTATTCGACTGTTTTTTATTGCATAGCAAATTATGTTACAGATATGTCAATCGTAAAATAAATATTTCCGTAATTAAAGTTTTACTAACAAATTTGGAATAGGTGTATCTCTGTTAGTTACAATGTACTAAAAGCTATCAAATAAGTATTAATTTGTTAAAATATTATTTTCTTTCGCTAGTAGTCATAATTAACCGATTTTAAAGCGGTTTTTATTTCGATTTCTTTTTGTTTGTATATTACACGTTGATAATATTTTTTGCGATCAAGATTAAATATACTAATATTTAAATATAATTCAAAAATTGAATTTGCGTAAATATTCAAAATAATTTTAAAAATATTTTATAAATAGTACTTTACTAATTTAATTAATTTTTTTAATTACGAGAACATTAATGTTTGCAATAGTTACATTATTTCCATTGTATAGCGAACGCGTGTGCACACGCACGTGTGTATTAGTCTGTGTATATTTGCGTGTATACGTGCACGTGCCTGCGTAGCTGCGTTCTATTGAGTATGTGTTATACTCGTATACACATACTCAATATTGTATATATATCATATACTACAATAGTCACCATCATATCAGCCTTTTACTGTCCACTACTAATAATAAGCCTCTCGCATAAAATAAAAGGGGGTTTGCCAAGAGCTGCCACGTTTAGCAGGCGGGGTGGCAACCGCAGTTAGGCTTTGGTGATATTTTAAAAGGAGCACTGCTGCCAATTTCTCGACTATGAAATCTCCTTAGTCGCCTCTTACGATACCCACGGGAAAAAAGGGGTGCCCATTCTATATCAGGGCCACACAGTAATAATAGTATACTCACTAGTAATTAGAAATACATCAATATTTGCAACTGTTTTTTTTTATACAACTTAGAATGGCAAACAAGCTGTCGGTCCGCCTGATGGAAAGTGGTAACCGTCGCCTATAGACATGAGCAGTACTATGGACATAACAGAGTATACTGTTTCGCCCATGATACCCCCCATGCGTAAATGCCATGTTTACACTATTTCTGTACTGTAACTAAGTATCTTACCTCGGAGGGAAGGTACCTAAAGACATTTGTATTCCATCAATTTGCACACATCTCGTATGCACCGGGGCGACGGCGATCGTTTGCGTTAGATGTGATCGGCATAACTCATTGGGCCCTCCGCTTTCTCAATATATGTAGGTGTATTGCTCTCGTATTAGTATCTATTTGATCACGATGGTGAGTGAGATAACTTTATCATAAAAATTTTTGGTGGGTTTAGCACAACGAAAAGAATTACGCCTAGAAAATTAGATTTTTTTTAGTAATATGCACTGTGTAATTTAATGTAGCAATCATAAGAATTTTTAATAAATTACATCTATTAAAGTTAGGATGACGTTATCACGAGAACATGATATCTTTGTACAATGTAAAAAGTTAGTCTTAGCAAATAATAATGAAGGTACATGGAAATAGAATAAATTAATTGATTAATTTCAATGCCAGGTCGGTAAAAATCTACAGTGAGGAATCGAAATCGTTCGCATCCTTTGAAGTTAATGTTTTACCAGCAAAACCGAATATTTCCCCAAACAATGGGTAAAAAAATAACAAATAATTTTAAGCTACCGATACTAAACATGGCAAATTTAATTGTTGAGTTAATATACGAGACTCAATTTTGTTTTATGTATTTTAATTTTTGATACACGAAATTTCTGTTCTAATGTGTTCTATAGTATTAGTTTTACGAACATTTTCGATTTCACCTATTCTTTAAATCTACTATGTAATCAGTTATATAAGTATTATCATTACGTAATTTTCGTGTTTTTTTTTTTTTGTATTTTTTATTTATGTTTAACACAAAAATAAAGGGCTGGTATCTAGCATTTATATCAATAACAGAGGCATAATAACATTTGCTCAAGACACGAATTACATAATAATAATATTAACAATAACAAAATAAAAATAATACTTTTCTTGAGAATAAGATATTTTACCATAATAAAAACTTATAAGTAAATGTATGTTGACATAGTCAAAGTTATAGGCACACCAAATATTATCAAAATTTATCTAGTAGCTTTTGCGTGATCGTTTACGGATAGGATCTGGTAGCTTAAAAAGCCATTTTAAGAGACTCGTAATAAGATTCATTTTATATAGTCTAAAGAGTTTAATAGGTACTTCGTGCTGAATGTGATATTATTAACGGACTGTACAGTTTCGAGTTATACGTAATGTATCGTGAATATGATTC